TATTCTTCAGACTTGAAAGCAATTCTTACAGCATACAACAGCACCACAACTGTGTCCACTTTAAATGATGAAAGCTACTCTCAGCCATTTGCACAGCTCGATGCTGGTGTGCAGCTTCAAGAATTCAACACAGAACAGAAGCATCTATGGCAAGAAATTACGGACAACATCAAGAAGGATTTAGATAAACACCCTTACATTGCATTATCAATGACTGCAGCTGCAACTGTTGCATCCGCGGCTGTTTCTCAGCAGCGAGGCTGGAGGGAGGGAGAGGTGGCCTCTGAACTTCAAGCAGATGTCGTATTGTTTACCTGCAATCATCACTTTCCCAGAGTTTATTTTCAGGAATTTGTTTTGCCTGAGTTCCAGCAGCGAATGTCTGAATTGACACTGCCCCTGAAGCATACAACGAAACTGTTGCTGAAAATTTATTGCAGGGTCGAAGGCTGTCTACCGACTGCCTGTCCAATATGTGTGTACAATTCCATCAGGATGGAACAGTTGGAAATGGTTGAACAAAGTGCAAGTGGAGAAAGCTTGCAAGCTAGGCCATGGGATATTTAACATTAATTTTAATTTATACCTTTTTATAGACACAAGTTTTTGTGAGTAATATATAAGAATTGATGGTGAAGAAGATTGATCAATTCACATGGTAGACAGTTATTTTTCCATTTTGTGATATCAGTATTGAAGTCAAAACGGCCATATTTCTTAATCAGGACAACTTTATTCATCAAAATAATATTTTACAGCATCAAAGATTTTAAGAGTTAATAATTATTTATTACAAAAACTACAAAGTGTTCTGTTCTATAAGAACTATTAGGAAAAGAAAATTTTGTGAAACATATAAGTCACGACTAAACATTAGCATAGACACTGTACTTCAAAGGTAAAATAAAATTGAATGTAATATTACAATCAGGATTCTTACAGAGATGATATAAGAACAGAAAAAATTATCGAATAATTATGCAATATGCAAAAATATGCAAGTAGTAAATTATAGTACTTATTTTGGCTATAAAAAGGAATAAATCTTGTCAAACAAGTTAACAAAATATTGTATGATTCTCTCTTTCATAACACCACAATCCTCAATCATAGTCTACTAAAATGCTCTTAGCAGGTATAAAATCCTCCATCATGCTTCCTGGAATATCCACCATTTGTTGCTGCACTGTGGTGACTCTCTGTTGATAAGAAAAAATATATTTTTAGTAGAAAGCTCAGCTTGTTTTAATAATAATATTCTTTGGGAGTGGTTAACTAAGGCCCATTTCAAATTTCTCTGTGACTTGTGCTAAAGCTAATTTGATAAATTGTTAAGTTCAGCTATGGTGCAAGTTAGGAGTGGTATTTTATTCAAAGCATACTTAGGTCAGACCATGGATAAAAAGGATGCCAATTTCAATCATGGGAACAGTGTACACTAAGTTTAGTGGGTGATAAGTGTGCCTACCGGTAATTAGAAACAACTGCTGCAATATTTATGGTAGTCTGAGAAAACTGTGAAATGACGTATGTCCTGTGAAATGATGTATGAGGAAATGAGCACAGAAATGATGCATCACTATCCAACTACCCAGATCTGGGTAGTGACATGCATGTCAGTAATATAGACTTTCTTTGCTCATTCCTGATACGTAATTTTGTGCAGAAATCGGTGGTGACATTGTTGGATTATGTGACAGCCTCTACTGCTGACACTGTTAAATCAGGCTGTTTCAAATGCTGGTTATCTGCATGCCAAACATGCATGGTATTCATTAGTTAGGTTCAGTTGGGCACATTCAGTAACATGACATTTGTATATTCAAACTTAGATCCCTTACTGGTGAGGTTCACAAGTTTAACAGATGACCTAATTTTAAAAGAACTGTTTCCTGGCATGGGACTCTTCCACCCCACCCTCTCTCTCCCTAGCAGGTGGATAAACCAGTCAGTTCATTACCTATTGCTCCATTGATGCTGTGTATGCTCTGCCGTTGTACACTTGTGCTCTTCATCAGTGGCAGTTTATACAGGTCAATTTCTGGTTCTTCTGGTGGTGGACGATTTTTTAAAATTCGCCTACGCATAAGAAAAGGCTTTTCAGCTTAATGTACAATGTTAAATATCTAAAACTTAGTTTTCCAAAAATACCCTTAAAAAATGCTGTTTTATTTTAACTTTAAATACATCTAAATTAGTGATAGACTGAAACTCGTCTGGGAGACTATTCCACAGCCTTTGGCCTCTGAAGGTAAACGCGCGCTGACCTGCAGCTGTCCTACAGAGTGGTATATGTAGGCGGTCCCTATTCCTAGTGTTGCAGTTGTGCACTCCCGATCTGGTTTTAAACTTCTGACAAAGATATGGAGGTGCAAGTCTAATTAATGACCACCCAAAAAGTGAAGATCTAGTGGTGGTCGCTTACAAAAAATTGCTCCCCCGGGACCCCTTCCAAGAAGAGGTCCTGATCCATCCCCTCTTTGACATAGAATTTGTTGCATTCACTTTCCAAGTTCAGTATTGTGTAATTCGGGTTACTTATGACAGGTGCTTGCACATAGAGGTCGACTGCAACATTATTGTGAAGGACACCTACCCATGTGGCAAACCAACAGTTTCATGTTGTACTAAGGTCTCGGCCTTTGAGGAAAGAAACTCTTTATGATGGTCATAGGTTGACTTGATGACAAAATCCAAGCTGTCATTGGGGGCCTGCAACAGAAAAGAACCACATCCTGTCAGTTGATTTTAACGTGTTGTTAAACAATCGCAACAGTTGTTTATCAAGACTCCTTTTTCCAGGGTAAGATTGGGGAACTTTGTGAACTCTCTCTCTCAAAGACAGACATAGATAGTATGTTTCTGTGAAACTGCCCACCTACCCCTCCCCTAAGCCATCATAATTTTGCCTAAAGTGAGAAGTAAGTGTTAATGTTAGCTTAGGGGAGGGGTAGGTGGGCAGTTTCCCATAAACCTAAATTGAGTCAAGAGAGATGTCCACCTTACAGAAAACCACAGAACATGACAGAACAAAGGCAGGGACTAACTCTAGGCGTCCATTCGTCAACCGGGAGGTGACCGTACACTTTAACTAAAAGAGGCTCTAAAGAATTTTTACAGCTATCCATGGTTTGCTGTTTGGCACCAATGATAAATTAAAGACACCATCTAGTAAATTATATTTGTCGGTAATATAACAACCTGTGGATCATGATGGAAAATTTCTCTTCTCGAACTTGCGAGTGTAGCTGTTTTATTGAGTCTGTCCCACGGAGAACCCTCCTGACTGGTGCCAGTGTTGTTTAGTGTTCCTCTTTCTTTCACCTGCAGTTTCAAAAAGAATCAAACAGAAAATGTAGTCCAGAAACTGACAGTGTCGAATACATCAATCAAACCTGGACGGGGAGGTTAAAAGAACAGTCTAATGCGTGAGAAAAAGGCATGGATTAATGTTTGCATTTCGAATCACGCGTTCTTTTCGACATTCTTGCCTCTCGAGCGTGCCTTCTCGTCGCCAAAAGAAAGCGTTTCAGTCACTTTTTCATTTAAAATCATTAGCTACAAATGATCGTGATTTTGAGCAAATTCGAGGAAATCTGGACAAGATCTGCCGCTTCTCTGTGGACGTACAATGGAGCTTAGTGATCAAAAGAGCGCAAAACAAAAAACAGCTGGAACTTTGTAAACAAAACTACAACAGATTAATTCAGTTTATCGTACTAGAAAAAGGGTGACGGCATCGTTATCTGTTATTTAAACTGCAGAATAAGCTTATTAATCACTCTCAAAGTTGTCGAAATGACTGGTATAATGGAGGCTTTATGATGGTTCTTCAATACTCCGAGAATGATTTTGTTGGACCTTGCCCAAAAGGCTTCGCGAGTGATTGCAAAGAAATAAATCATAGATCTTCTTGTTCTGTTAAACAAACCTGTTTTCCTTGTTGTCCACAGAAGTCGCTGTCATTCTGAAGTCTTGGAAAAGGGTAAGGATCGCGAGGCATGTTGCAATCTTTACGAGAAGAGTTCAATGAAATGGAGTGAATGGGAGATGTTTTGTCCTCACCAAGCGTCTGTTACCATAGTGATACAAATCCGCGAGAAAACTGAGTACCAGTATGGAAAGAAAACTGGTTCCCAGAGCCTTCACGGTTATCGATCCCATCAGCCCCTTCGGCCAACTGGTGTTGTAGCATATATGGCGGCGAAGCACGTGTAGAATACCTTTGGTACAAATAGATTTTGTTTTTTTGTCATGTAAGCGTCAAATGTAGCTTCAACTTTCTCTGAAAGTACTCGGCTAAGATGGGTATTCAGGGACTGCAGGAGTACGTGGAGGCAAACTGTCCAAGTGCTTACGAAGAAGTTGATTTGAGAGAAGTCCTATCCACCGCAAGAGCTCCCGTTCTTCTCGTAGATGCGAGAAGTTGTCTTAAACATCTTTACGGCCCTAGTACAGACTGGGTTTGCGGAGGACAATGGAACGAAATGCTTCGCGCCGTGGAGAATTTTTCTAGATCTTTTCGCCAGCAAAATATCGAAATTTTGATGTATTTTGACGGCGAAGGCGAATCACAGCATTTGCACGATTGGATCAAGAATCAAAACGAAAAAAGACAATTAGCTCGACAAATCCTAATGCATGTCATGAAAATGAACTGCTATCCTGGCAAAAGACTTTATTTTCCACCACCGGTGGTGAACACGTGTTTGCGGCTCGCCTTTCTCAGTTGTGGTGTTTCCGTGTCGAGTTCGACGGGTGATCTTCACAAAGAAATGGCGACGTATTGCAAAACCGAAGGCTTTGCAGGCATTATCAGCCATCACGCAGACTTTCTGATGTTTGATATCCCGAATTATTTTTCCGCCGATCACCTTAAATTTTCCAAGAAAGACATAACGACGTTGAGATTTAAACGCGATGCGATGTTAAGTGCTCTTCAACTTCATCACGACCGATTAGGGTTATTTGCAAGCTTACTAGGTACTTCATTCATTCCAGAAGAAATGCTGAGTTCATTTTATTGGAGTCTCTTAGGACCGGATCATCCCTTAGCCAAAGTACAGGTCGGTACACTGTCAGTGTAATATTTACGTTTATCATTAAATAATTTAAGGTATAACTGATATTATTAAATTCAGTGATAGACATAACATTGACGTTCTTAACAAAGGTTCTTTGTTTTGGGGGTGGTGATGGGGATGAATGAACTAATCTTCCTCTAAGTGCTGGAGTTAGGGTTTTTCCCTTTTTATTAGAAATTTGACTTGATAGCATTTTCTCTGATTTATTCTTATTTTGTGCCTTTTTTATTGCAAATCACAGTGAGAATTCATATCTGATGCTACTGAACCTATCTAATTTCTTCTACAATATCACTGCATAATCAAACTTACATGTACAGGGGTTTCAATAAGCACCAATGACCGATGAAACACGTTGGTCCTTTTGTCAGAGGAGTCAGCTACTTTTCTCCCTGAAAGAAGAAGCAACTAGTGCTTATGGTGTCATAAACAAATGACATATCGTGAAAATGTAAAGGCCCATTGGTTTTGAGTTATGCTTTAGTTATGCAAACACTGTATTTCAGTCAATTCTTCACACTTTTCTTTAGAGGTTTACACAGAATTTGTTGTCATTCAAATGTACATTTGTTCATTGCTTGTTAGTTGTGTGGCTGATAATGGGAACGTGGGTGAAAGCTACATTTTCTTGAATGAAAAACACGCTCTTTTGTACTCACTTTTGTCCCTAGAATGCTGGAAATCACATTGTAGGGCTTTGAAATCTCAAAATCTTCTGAGGGAATATGCCCCCAGACCCCCTAGAGGCACTGGATTAACACCCCCCCTTCTTGATACAGTCGGGTACTCTATTCAAAGCTGATGGCTACTTCAATTGTTATTGAAACCCCTGCATGTAGATGTCATGAGAATAAAGAAGTTCCTTAAGGAAATCTAAAAATCAGTCTAGAGAATTTGTATGAGTAATCAGGGTTGTGTCTTAACTGCTTTATGCGGCTGTTGTTTTTTGGTAGTCCCAAGTTTAACTTTCTCCGGGACACTTGTAAAAAGCTAACTAGTATGCTTCCCACATGTTTGGATTGACACTTCAAAGGATAAGTGTTTAAAAGCAGAGTTATGACTGCTAGACAATTTCTCCTTTATGTGTTGTGAGAGATGTATATGGGGTATTATTGAGAATGTGAATATTCAGTAGTTAAAAATAATCAGCTTTTTTTCATAGGTCAAGGAGAAACATCAGCCAATTTTTCCAGCCAATGACACAGTCATCACCAGTGTAGTTACATTTATAAAGAGTTTAGCCGATGTTTCTAATCTAGACTGGATTGCACGCAGGTTTTAAACTTCTGACAAAGATATGGAGGTGCAAGTCTAATTAATGACCACCCAAAAAGTGAAGATCTAGTGGTGGTCGCTTACAAAAAATTGCTCCCCCGGGACCCCTTCCAAGAAGAGGTCCTGATCCATCCCCTCTTTGACATAGAATTTGTTGCATTCACTTTCCAAGTTCAGTATTGTGTAATTCGGGTTACTTATGACAGGTGCTTGCACATAGAGGTCGACTGCAACATTATTGTGAAGGACACCTACCCATGTGGCAAACCAACAGTTTCATGTTGTACTAAGGTCTCGGCCTTTGAGGAAAGAAACTCTTTATGATGGTCATAGGTTGACTTGATGACAAAATCCAAGCTGTCATTGGGGGCCTGCAACAGAAAAGAACCACATCCTGTCAGTTGATTTTAACGTGTTGTTAAACAATCGCAACAGTTGTTTATCAAGACTCCTTTTTCCAGGGTAAGATTGGGGAACTTTGTGAACTCTCTCTCTCAAAGACAGACATAGATAGTATGTTTCTGTGAAACTGCCCACCTACCCCTCCCCTAAGCCATCATAATTTTGCCTAAAGTGAGAAGTAAGTGTTAATGTTAGCTTAGGAGAGGGGTAGGTGGGCAGTTTCCCATAAACCTAAATTGACTCAAGAGAGATGTCCACCTTACAGAAAACCACAAAACATGACAGAACAAAGGCAGGGACTAACTCTAGGCGTCCATTCGTCAACCGGGAGGTGATCGTACACTTTAACTAAAAGAGGCTCTAAAGAATTTTTACAGCTATCCATGGTTTGCTGTTTGGCACCAATGATAAATTAAAGACACCATCTAGTAAATTATATTTGTCGGTAATATAACAACCTGTGGATCATGATGGAAAATTTCTCTTCTCGAACTTGCGAGTGTAGCTGTTTTATTGAGTCTGTCCCACGGAGAACCCTCCTGACTGGTGCCAGTGTTGTTTAGTGTTCCTCTTTCTTTCACCTGCAGTTTCAAAAAGAATCAAACAGAAAATGTAGTCCAGAAACTGACAGTGTCGAATACATCAATCAAACCTGGACGGGGAGGTTAAAAGAACAGTCTAATGCGTGAGAAAAAGGCATGGATTAATGTTTGCATTTCGAATCACGCGTTCTTTTCGACATTCTTGCCTCTCGAGCGTGCCTTCTCGTCGCCAAAAGAAAGCGTTTCAGTCACTTTTTTATTTAAAATCATTAGCTACAAATGATCGTGATTTTGAGCAAATTCGAGGAAATCTGGACAAGATCTGCCGCTTCTCTGTGGACGTACAATGGAGCTTAGTGATCAAAAGAGCGCAAAACAAAAAACAGCTGGAACTTTGTAAACAAAACTACAACAGATTAATTCAGTTTATCGTACTAGAAAAAGGGTGACGGCATCGTTATCTGTTATTTAAACTGCAGAATAAGCTTATTAATCACTCTCAAAGTTGTCGAAATGACTGGTATAATGGAGGCTTTATGATGGTTCTTCAATACTCCGAGAATGATTTTGTTGGACCTTGCCCAAAAGGCTTCGCGAGTGATTGCAAAGAAATAAATCATAGATCTTCTTGTTCTGTTAAACAAACCTGTTTTCCTTGTTGTCCACAGAAGTCGCTGTCATTCTGAAGTCTTGGAAAAGGGTAAGGATCGCGAGGCATGTTGCAATCTTTACGAGAAGAGTTCAATGAAATGGAGTGAATGGGAGATGTTTTGTCCTCACCAAGCGTCTGTTACCATAGTGATACAAATCCGCGAGAAAACTGAGTACCAGTATGGAAAGAAAACTGGTTCCCAGAGCCTTCACGGTTATCGATCCCATCAGCCCCTTCGGCCAACTGGTGTTGTAGCATATATGGCGGCGAAGCACGTGTAGAATACCTTTGGTACAAATAGATTTTGTATTTTTGTCATGTAAGCGTCAAATGTAGCTTCAACTTTCTCTGAAAGTACTCGGCTAAGATGGGTATTCAGGGACTGCAGGAGTACGTGGAGGCAAACTGTCCAAGTGCTTACGAAGAAGTTGATTTGAGAGAAGTCCTATCCACCGCAAGAGCTCCCGTTCTTCTCGTAGATGCGAGAAGTTGTCTTAAACATCTTTACGGCCCTAGTACCGACTGGGTTTGCGGAGGACAATGGAACGAAATGCTTCGCGCCGTGGAGAATTTTTCTAGGTCTTTTCGCCAGCAAAATATCGAAATTTTGATGTATTTTGACGGCGAAGGCGAATCACAGCATTTGCACGATTGGATCAAGAATCAAAACGAAAAAAGACAATTAGCTCGACAAATCCTAATGCATGTCATGAAAATGAACTGCTATCCTGGCAAAAGACTTTATTTTCCACCACCGGTGGTGAACACGTGTTTGCGGCTCGCCTTTCTCAGCTGTGGTGTTTCCGTGTCGAGTTCGACGGGTGATCTTCACAAAGAAATGGCGACGTATTGCAAAACCGAAGGCTTTGCAGGCATTATCAGCCATCACGCAGACTTTCTGATGTTTGATATCCCGAATTATTTTTCCGCCGATCACCTTAAATTTTCCAAGAAAGACATAACGACGTTGAGATTTAAACGCGATGCGATGTTAAGTGCTCTTCAACTTCATCACGACCGATTAGGGTTATTTGCAAGNTAAACATCTTTACGGCCCTAGTACAGACTGGGTTTGCGGAGGACAATGGAACGAAATGCTTCGCGCCGTGGAGAATTTTTCTAGATCTTTTCGCCAGCAAAATATCGAAATTTTGATGTATTTTGACGGCGAAGGCGAATCACAGCATTTGCACGATTGGATCAAGAATCAAAACGAAAAAAGACAATTAGCTCGACAAATCCTAATGCATGTCATGAAAATGAACTGCTATCCTGGCAAAAGACTTTATTTTCCACCACCGGTGGTGAACACGTGTTTGCGGCTCGCCTTTCTCAGCTGTGGTGTTTCCGTGTCGAGTTCGACGGGTGATCTTCACAAAGAAATGGCGACGTATTGCAAAACCGAAGGCTTTGCAGGCATTATCAGCCATCACGCAGACTTTCTGATGTTTGATATCCCGAATTATTTTTCCGCCGATCACCTTAAATTTTCCAAGAAAGACATAACGACGTTGAGATTTAAACACGATGCGATGTTAAGTGCTCTTCAACTTCATCACGACCGATTAGGGTTATTTGCAAGTTTACTAGGTACTTCATTCATTCCAGAAGAAATGCTGAGTTCATTTTATTGGAGTCTCTTAGGACCGGATCATCCCTTGGCCAAAGTACAGGTCGGTACACTGTCAGTGTAATATTTACGTTTATCATTAAATAATTTAAAGGTATAACTGATATTATTAAATTCAGTGATAGACATAACATTGACGTTCTTAACAAAGGTTCTTTGTTTTGGGGGTGGTGATGGGGGACGAATGAACTGATCTTCCTCTAAAGTTAGGGTTTTTCCCTTTTTATTAGAAATTTGATTTGATAGCATTTTCTCTATTTCATTGTTATTCTGTGCCTTTTTATTGCAAATCATAGTGAGAATTCATATCTGATGCTACTGATCCTATCTAATTTCTTCTACAATATCACTGCATAATCAAACTTACATGTACAGGGGTTTCAATAAGCACTGACTACTTTTCTCCCCGAAAGAAGAAGCAACTAGTGCTTATGGTGTCGTAAACAAATAAAATATCTTGAAATCTGATTGAAAATGTAAAGGCCCACTGGTTTTGAGTTATGCTTTAGTTATGCAAACACTGTATTTCAGTCAATTTTTCACACCTTTCTTTAGAGATTTACACAGAATTTGTTCTCATTCAAATGTACATTTGTTCATTGCTTGTAAGTTGTGTGGCTGATATTAGGAACCTGGATGAAAGCTACATTTTCTTGAATGAGAAACACACTCTTTTGTACTCAGTTTTGTCCCCAGAAATCTGGAAATCGCATGTTAGGGCTTTGAAATCTCAAAATCTTCTGAGGGAACATACCCCCAGACCGCCTAGAGGTACTGGATTATCGCCCCCTTGTTGATACAGTCGGGTACTCTATTCAAACCTTCTGGCTACTTTAATTATTATTATTATTGAAACCCCTGCATGTAGATGTTGTGAAGTTAAGAAAAATGATTATCTTAATGAAGAGGCTGAGTGGTCAAAACACTGGTATTGAGAGTAGTCAACATCACTTTTCTCCTAACAATAAGAATTAATACATAATCAAGAGCTAACAAGGGTACGAGAATTTTTAAAGTGATTGGCTTTGAGAAAAATGCTTTGATCGTAAGGCAAATTCTCTCCACCAGTTCCTTGAGGAAATCTACAAATCGGTCTAGAGAATTTGTATGTGTAATCAGGGTCCTGTCTTAACTGCTACATGCAGCTGTTGTTTTTTTAGTAGTCCTAAGTTTAACTTTTTCCGGGACACTTGTAAAAACCTAACTAGTATGGCTTCCTACATGTTTGGATTGACACTGCCAAGGATAAGTGTTTAAAAGCAGGGTTATGACTGTTTGACAATTTCTCCTTTATGTGTTGTGAGAGATGTATATGGGGTATTATTGAGAATGTGAATATTCAGTAGTTAAAAGTAATCAGCTTTTTTTCATAGGTCAAGGAGAAACATCAGCCAATTTTTCCAGCCAATGACACAGTCATCACCAGTGTAGTTACATTTATAAAGAGTTTAGCCGATGTTTCTAATCTAGACTGGATTGCACGCCAAGTGTTTAAGTCAGAAAAGGTCAATTTAGCTGAGGTCACAGAAAAACTGAAACAAGCTGTGGAACATTACTCAAGCCTCCCACATGAGGAATCCCCTGCCCCCCAGTCTCCTGGTATCGCCCCAGGTAATACAAGATTAGCTATCACTAATGGTGTGAACTAAAGTCAAAATTTTGGGGGTCAGTTATTTAAACAAAGTCTAACGTAGGCCGCAGTTTAAGAAATATTAGACCTCCAGATCCTTTTCTTAGTGGGTTAATTTAAGAAAAGAAGGGCTTTTCTAGTTGACGCTATAAGCTTTACTGAAATTGTTCACGATAAATGGTGTTTAGATAAAAGCACTGGGCAAACTGAAAATGGCTTAGAATATGGTTTTGTTAAACAAGGGCTAAACTCTGTACAAATAACTGGCCCTCAGTGTTACCCGCATCACCACAATAATACACGGTAATATCTTCTCTCTCCTTTTATGAGATGCAGTTCTTTTCTTCAATGTCTGAATATCCTATTTTAGTCTAGATAATTAACAATTATTCCTCCAGCCCTAATGGGCTCTGAGTGAATAGCCCATTCGGCCTTCGGACTCATGGGCTATTCACTCAGAGGCCATGAGGTCGAGAGGAATAATGGTTTTAGTAAAATCCAACTAGTTGGTCGAAAATGATGCAACAAACAACTTTAGCTAGCAAAATGCGATTCAGCCGCCATTGTTTTGGTTTTCAAAGCCGGCGCTTTTCGCTACTAGTGGGCTATAACATATAGCCTAGTAGTAGCTCAACCAAGAAGGCAGCATTAAAATATCAGAAGGCAGCATTGATAATTGACCACCAGTTGGCTTTTACTAATTACAGATATAGAGTAATTCCGTTGAAGTAGCCATTCATTGAACCTAGGAAGAACATAGAGCAAAAAACTACAAACACATGGGAAAAGGAAAACTGAACCAACCAGATGGGAAAGAAACTGTTATTCTCCATCAATACCTGTGTAATAAAAAAATTGTTGTTTGTTTATTCATTCATTTACACAACTGCAAGATTAAAATATCCTCTGCTGGCAAAGAGGTAAGAGGTGGACAGAGGAGGATATGAGGTGGAAAAAAAAGAAAACAAGAAACTAAACTATAAACAGTACTACAAGATACAATGTTAGTTCAACTCAGTTCTTATTTGAGAAAATTGCTATAATCTGTTTGTACATACCTATCCACGGAGACCTAGGGGGCAGATGGTGGGAGCGAGGGAAAGTCTAAACGGGCGGAAAAATATGGC